AATAGATGAGGTGACGGTTTCGGCCGCCATTTTGTTCCGGTAGGCAAAGTGTCGCAAAATAACAAGGAATGACCGGGAAATCGATGTCAAATAATTCTCGCTGAATTCAAATTCCGAAAGAATTATCAATTGCAAACGTTAGATACTGCAAAAAGGAGTTAACTGGCAAAATTTGAAAGGCGTACTTGATCTAGAGAGCGAGTAAACTCATTTTTAGTTCTCCATACATTTCTTTGTATTTTTCACGCGCGTCACGCACTGATGACCCCGGAAATGATAACGAAATGTATTGAAATTACAAAGAAATGTATAGAGAACTAAAAATGAGTTTACTCGCTCTCTAGATCAAGTACGCCTTTCAAATTTTGCCTGTTAACTCCTTTTTGAGGTATCKAACGTTTGCAATTGATAATTCTTTCTGAATTTGAATTCAGCGAGAATTATTTGACATCGATTTCCCGGTCATTCCTTGTTATTTTGCGACACTTTGCCTACCGGAACAAAATGGTGGCCGAAACCGTCACCTCATCTATTCTTCTTTAAAGTAAAATTCTACAGAAGAAAATGGTCCGACATGTTTGACTTTCAGCCAGACATCTCTCGATTTTTGGCCGGACATTGTCCGATGTCCAGCACTTATTTTATCCCCTGGTGTGTCTTTCCTTAATTTGTAAATATACCATATTTACCCATGTATAAGCCGCACTTTTTTTCCAAAAAAATTGTTCCCAAATCAGGGGTGCGGCTTATCTACGAGAAGACTCGTAAAAATGCCCAATAAAAACTAATTTGCATAAATTAGCATTCACGGTGCTGCAGACAGGACGGCGAGAACAGACATTTTAATCCAAACTTCTCAGTATTACTATAAATTCTCCGAAAATCTAGCCCTGAGAAACACCAGTCAATAATTCACTGAAAAGTGCGTGGCTATTGAGCCAATGAACAGAGAGCATTTTGACCGGTTAGCTCAGTAGGTAGAGCATCGGACTTTAGTGCGGGAGGTCGCAGGTTCAAACCCCGGCCGGACCAACACTCAGGGTCTTAAAATAATTGAGGAGAAGTTGCTGCCTTTGTCTTTCTCCATCTGCAAATGGTAAGATCTTCTCGTCCTCTCGGATAACGACGTAAAATCGGAGGTCCCGTCTCTCTACACTTCACTCACTAACCTGTATTAGAGGGACGTTAAAGAACCCACACCACTGTTCGCATAAGAGTAGGGAATGATTCCCGGTGTGTGTGGCTAGGCCTTACTATACTAACCCATACTAATTACTAACCCCTCATGATTGTAAGCCGCGTGGCTGCCAATTGCGCCTTAAAAACAGCGGTCCGTGTGAAATGATCTATACATGTGAAGCGCCTTTGAACTGAGAGGATATTGGCGCTATATAAATACCACATATTATTATTATTATTATTATTATTAATTGTTTTGTCTTGGAGTTGTTTTGGTAACGCGATGCTAAGGTTTGGATCACAGAAATCGAGCAGCGGAAAAGCACTTTCAAATCAAAGAAAGCTGTGTTCGCAAGTGGCGATCAAAAAGAGCCAATTTCTAAATATAAATTTAAGACTTACCACTGTAACAGAAATTGGGGAAACATGCATAGTAAAAAGTCTTTCTTATGTTTATTGTTGGGTGTTATAACAATTATGCTATAAATATAGACTGGTTTAAAGCATAGTTACTACTATGTTTAAAGTGTCAATGGCAAAGCCCATCTTTTACATAGGTTATTCAAGATGAAAGTTGAATCTTTACTGTCTATATTTTTTAAAGTAAATTCTTGTTTATATTGTCTAACAGATGTTGAATGAGCAATAATATTACACATTTTCATGTGTGGTTTGTTGGTTGTTACAACAACTATGCTAATATGAAAATCAAAAGTCTATTGTTTATATTTAACAAATAGATTAAAGTCTTYAGTATTTATTCTTCATATTTGTGTAATACTAATGTGCAGTGTAATAGTTTGCTTTCGAACTAGAGCATGAGTCTTGGATTTATTTCTATGTTAAATTTGTAAAAAGTTGGAAAACCACCRTCGCTTGAAATGAAAATTGCGTCGAGGATTATTAATTTGGCATGATTTGCAGGACACAACTTAACATTTCAATAATTTTTTTATGAATGGCAAATATGGAGAGTTTGTTTGTTTACTAATATTCTTGATCACAATAWAGCTCGATTCAGTATTAATAAAGTCTACCTGTAAGGATATAAACCGTTGATCAAACGACAACAGCAACAGTTGCCGCTTGAATATCAAAATAAGCAGTGTATTCAAGATATGTTCCTGATATGTAATAAATCACATACATGGCTCTAGAATTACATAAATAACATCTGAAATGTGATATGTGAACTAATGGATATACAATATTGGGTCGAGATGGCATAGTGGGGGCTAGATGTTGGGTGCGAGATGGCAATGGGACGAGATGGCCATAATTCACCAGGGGCATATCCAGGGGGTTGACAGGGTGCCTGTGACCCCCCATTTCAAAGTCAAAAATGCGAAAACCATAGATTGATATGACATCATACTGATGTCAAATGACAGGATTGGTATGTAAGGATACTACCCCCACCCCCTCCATGAAATTCCTGGATACGTCCCTGAGTGCTATCAACTCTTCATACAACCATGCCTTGGTGTTTATCCAGAGGTGACTATTTAACAGAGGTCTGACTGTATAATATAGTGTAAGTGCATAAATCAGTTACCCTTTCACTGTCCCACCAATAGCTTCTCCTTTCTTCCATCCCATTCCTCTCAGCATAGCTGCACCAAAAGAACTGACAGGCATTGCTTCATAGTCATCTAGTGTACTCTACAATCATAATTAAACATATTTTAAATAATGATTAACATGGTAAAAATATATTCCAATAATACCACCCATCTACCAGCACTAAGACTGCCATACAAAACAATTAGGAAAATTAGKAAAATTAATCAAACAATAATTCAGAAAAATAAAACAATATCACTCAGGTCTTGCTGAATTACGCACACCCTTTCAGGATTTAAACAGTTTCGTAATTCATATAGTCTGCATGCTATTTAACTAATATTTTCATGGATAAAGATTATATGCATATACAGTATGTTTTAGTTCATATGATTGACTTGTTCTTGTTATGGAACATTTCTATATGGCATATTGCATGACAAGACAGGATGGCAATCATTGAATTGAACAGTTAAACTGAATGTGTGCTATACCTCAGATGGTCTCATTTCTATGTCTAGCTTTTCATCCTGTTCGCGGCCTTCCACGTTAGGCATTCTATTTCTCATCAAGATTGGAATTGAGATATCATCAGTATTTTCAGCTTTAGTCTCCAAGTCTCGTAAAGCATCTTGACAAACAAAAAAATGAATATAAGACTTCTTTGTAGCAAATATAGCAGTCAAACAATAATGCAACTACTGAATTAACTAACAGGGGGAAATGGAATATTATCCACACCATAGATTTTGTATGGGATTTTATCCACTGAGTAGGGATTTATCTGGCAGATAGCCCTATTCACCCTTCATACAACAAGCCCTAGATTAATGATAAAGATGGTCAGAAAAGAAAAAAAAGAAAAAAAAAAATATTGTGTAATGAAAATGTCACATTTGTGAGACATATCTCATTAAATAGTAAAAAATAGCTCTTTCTTTAGAACAAACAACAGTGTCTTAGTCATACCATAGTTAGAAACCACAGGAGGGTTCATTAGTAACTAACTATGGACATACCTTTGACGAGTTCTTCTGCAGCCTGTCTATCAAGATCATTAGTGGTTTCATTGGGGAGAATCCATCTGTTTTTCTTCTGGAGTGGGATAATGAGTTCTTTTGCTGCTTCCTTTGGTTTTACACTGACAAATATTTAGAGAAATATATTATATACTGTACATGTAGTAATAAAACACATTTTGACTGTAATCGTTTTTGTGACGAAGGCCTCTCGTCACTATGTCATAGGCTTTGAGTGAGTGAGTCTGTAATAATATCAAAGCAATTTTAACCAAATCAAAGCGATTTCATGTTACGAGGCTGTACGAAATCGTCTACAAAATCCCGACGTCAAGTGAAATTTATGAGGAAAAATTGATTTGGCCTGACTATGTGCGTTCTCTGTTTGTACTTTCGAAGGTGAGTTGTTGTTCTTTTATTACCACAATTACAATGTATTCAAACTATGTTGTGAACTAGGCTAATTTGTATTTCTAAAAAAAATTCAGATTTTGGGCACTTTATGTGGTTTGTTTGCCAATAAAAGTCCGCTTGGCTTTTAACACAAGAYCAGGTCCAGTCGATTCCTTAATATTAAAATATTAATATAAGCTTATTGTATTTTTCAATGCTACTATATCTTAGTAAACATTTTTTATACATGACTTTCACAATGGCCGACACTAATTAGCATATTATTATTAAGGTCTCAGAAAGAATTTCATACAAATCCTTGTATTTTCATCACTCCATAACTTCGTTAGTATTTAGTCTATATCTTCAAAATTTTGCACAATTACTTATTTCTCATAGTTCTTCAATTATGTGACAGTGCTGAATGTTTCCTTAATACTGCCAATCAAATAAAATCGATACTTGGCACTTGTGAAAGTGGTCTATATCATCTACATGATTGATATTGTTCATTAATATRTTGTTTTATGTAAGCTAAATACAGCAATATGCAGAAATACTCCAATTTCAAGTTCTTGTTTGCTCTGTGTTAGCCTCAAAACCAAGCAAAATATTCTTTTGTTTTATTGATAGCCTGTTGAAATGCATGGAATTTGAAAAGAAAGACAAAAGAATTTGTTTGAAATCTCACACTTTTATTCTCACAATTAGGAATATTTTGCGCACAAATGAGGCTAACACAGAGCATTGGAGAATTCGAAACTGGATTATGATCTTTTATGCTCATAATTCAAGTATAAAATATATCAGAAATTATTGCATGTCATTGCCAATATTTTATAGAAAGTASTAGTGCTAGGCAACTTAAAAAGAATTTCAAAAAACTCATTAATTATTCATGAGGTATCCAGGCAATCCCTGATTGTAATTTGTGCCACGTGCAGTAACTGGATACCAGAGGAAGTACTCCTACCTTGTATTCTTTCTTATTTCAAGTTACTTCCTCTAGCTTATTTCAAGTCACTTAATCTACATTATTTCCAGTTACTTTTTACATTATTTCAAGTTACTTCTACCATGTCTCCAGCTACTACTAGCTAATGATAATTAAATTATTAGAAATAATAAATTTAACATTACTTTAGTGAAAAAAGGTCTTTGATACATTAATTCCTCACGACTCGATCCCCTACCAGCATCCAGTCTATATGTGCCGTCTTATACCATTACACCACCTAGTAATAATAGTCTAAGAAAAGTTTCCATGTAGCACAAGACGATCCTATATACTACTACTACTTGTTGAGGACTATATGATATTTATGACTATACAGCCTTTTGCAAAAATTATGAGAATTGTCGAAATATCTAAATATCATAATATCGAGTGCATGATGCCTAATCCCGCGCGATGCCCTTATTCCCTTGTCTTTGTAGTTTAGTTTTTTTGGGGCGACAGACTTATCCATAGTTCTGAACATTTTCTCGATGTCAACAATGAATTATTCTAGCAAACCCACGTGTTCCGGACAATATATGGATATGGATATTATGATATTTAGATATTTAGACAATTCTCATAATTTTTGCAAAAGGCTGTATATTTATTTATATATGACTATATCATATATGATATTTAAGCCTCTATTTTGATCCTGTTAAACTATACAGGCATGTCAGATACAGGCATGCGCGGATGCGGACACACATAATTGCCCCCTATCTGCATAATTTACCAAATTGCACATAATCCGGCATAATTCATGATTTTTTCCCATGTTATACTATTTTTTAAGTAACGTTTAAAGTCTGACAATGAGGACCGGACGGGGTTTCAAGTCCGCTAACGCCTCGGACTGGAACTAATTGCAAGGACTTGAAATCCCGTCCAGTCCGAATTGGAGGACTTTGAACGACTTCTCATGCTCATTAATTATTCGGGAGGGGAGAAAAGCGAAGGAAATACATATAACAGAAATATATTGATTTATTGCATCTCCACCAAGGTTGTCAGTTTTCATAATTTTGAATAAAGAAGCACCGTTTGTTGTTTTCCAATTCCCGAACGGCTTTCTRAAACAAAAGCTTTTCAAATTGTCTTTGTTTGCTTTTCATGACATTCCTAATGAGCCTAATTCATTAGTTTTATAAGTATGTTATCTTCCAAGGAATCGCATCAGAAACTCGGTGGTGTAATGGTATAAGACRGMGCATATAGACTGGACGGTTCGGGATCGTTTCGTGAGGGGGTCATTTATCAAAGACCTTTTTTCACTAAATTAATTCTATATTAAATTGATTATTTCTAATACTTTGATTATCATTAGCTAGTGTTAGTTAGAAAAAGCTAGAAGTAACTGGAAACAAGATAGAAGTAACTGGAAATAWGATAGAAGTAACTGGAAACAAGTTGGAAGTAACTGGAAATAAGATAGAATACAAGGTAGGAGTACTTCCTCTGGTWTCCAGTTACTGCACGTGGTACAAATTACAATCAGGGATTGGCTGGATACCTCATTTTTTGTGATCCCCTGACTGTTTTTTTATCAAAAATCGCTTCCAAACATGCTTAYAAATTTCCGCATATATATTGTTTYGTGAGCTTCACCAATGTMCCAGGCGTTCAAAATCTCATCAGAAATGAGTCTGGGGACTAGCATTACTGGTTACCCTGTGCCTTACCAGATCACGTGACAAATTCCAATATGGCGTATGAGACATAAAGCGCATGAGAACGAAAAAGTCTAAAAGGATCTTTTCTTCGGTTAGTACTGCCTTTGATATTTGTAACTAAAGATAAAATCGTAGTTTGCATTAAAAAACAAACACAATAACCTAAAAATATGTAAAATTTCCCAGATTTTACTTTCTTGTAATGACGTCATGCCGCATAATTTTCCGCATAATTACTCAGGGTTCCAAAGGAACAGYGAGTTTAAATTTCGGCTGTCTTTGTCGTCGTCTTTGGTTCACAAATTGTCTCAGCCAAACTAGAAGRCACTGGGTACGAATGTTATCATGATGTGCTATCTTTATGGTGGCGAGTGTACATGAGATGATCGAAAGACATGGCTTTAACTTCAAATACACTCAAATCATTTACAAATCCAAACACCATTCGCGGTATAGTCACACTAAAAAATGTCGAGCGTTTTTCRAAAGGGCATTTGGAGAGATACCATGAATTTATTGTAAAACTTATAGTGAAGTTTAAGCTTATTTTGCTGTCTATCGATCGCAGTCTATTGAGAATTGTCTTATCGCGAACTAGCATATACAGGCTCTGAAACTACAAAGGRCTTATCTAAGGAATACAAACAGAATTCTACCAAGGACAAACCGACGATTGGAAGTATTTTATTTATCGGAGAATATAAAAAACTCAGTGTTTATAGCCTGCCATGTGACACGGCTTGCAGCCAAAGATTTAAATAATTATACAAACTGAAAAGATGTCAACAAATAATAATAATGGCAAAATTAATTCCTCAATAATTAATACAAAAGATAAACTCCACAAGTAAATTAAGGGTGATATTTATTGGTACTATGCACTATGCCTGCTAGTAAGTAAAGTAGTGTTTTCGTTCTCTTAGCCGTATTTGATGCACTGCAACACTCAAGTGTAAAYGAGCCTTACCAAAGAAACTACGAAAGTATTATACAAACTTTATCGAAATAACAATTTACGATGAATACACCTACTTGTGAAAACGTTGTCATAAAAAATAGGACATTTGTAATTTAGTAAAAAGGAATAAATTAAAAAAGACAAAAGAAGATCACTGAGGCTGAACGCTGTCTTTTGTCTTGTTTTAATTTTTCCTTTTTACTAAATTCAAATGTTCTTTTTTCTATGACAACGTTTCTGCAAGTAGGTGTATTAATCTTTTGGATTCACTACAGTACTAGATTTTTATCAACAAGAACCCCGAGTTCACGCAGCTATGCGTCTAGTTCACCCTTTTCTCCACATAATATGGGGAAAAMTTCCACATAATTTTGATATTCTTCACGAAAAATTCCGACATGCCTGAATATAGAAGTTAATAAAGATACATATAATCGTGTTATTTTTGATCATACATTGCATTACAGCCAGTAGAGTGAACTCACTTTGATCCGCAAAACTGATGATATTGATTATGTTAATCAGCTCTATTTATTATTATCAAAACTATTTAGTAACTTAGTAAATTTTTGTTGGATGAATTTAGTGTGTTCATTCTAGAGATCATTGCTGCATAAAAACGTGAAACATCTACATTAGACAATGACTGTCAGAAGACTTTTTCATTGGTCTGTCCTTTTTAAGATGGAATTACGAGGTCCTAGTTATCCTCGTTTACTATCTCTTATTATGCGAWTAATATGAAGGAGACTTCAAATTACACTCTGTCTTATGTTCTATTGTAGATCTCTATGTTCCTTTTGAAAATTATTATGCCTTTCACATGCAGTCCTCTACTGTGTATTTTTTAACTGCTAATGAAACTAGAGCAATTCTCACTACGTACATGTATGSCATCAACCAATCAAAAATYGGATAAGATGAACAGTCTGAACTCAAACTACAAGGAAAAGAAAAATGGMAGATGATTTGGCCAAAGATAACTTGAAGGCCACTAAAAACCACTTCAAATGTTTGTAAAAACACAATATATCTTTATTTATTTATTTATTTATTTATGTGCTGCATGAAGAAACCAATGAAACCAACTTTTCAACAAGGTCATAATGAGTAAACTGGTCACGAAAGGACAAAAGCCRATTTAAGGTACAATCCTAATCTTAAATTGATAGCTATTGAAGTTTCTTCGCAATGTAGTAATGAATTATACGAAGAACAGAACATTTTATCTGTTTTAGAACGGAATGATCGCCTATGAGCTTATTACACCTGCACACTTTTAAACAATTCAGAAATATAAGAGATAGAGTATTTTGTTACCCTGCGAACAGAGTGTTATTTACCTTTAATTTGCGAAGGAAATAACACTCTKMCGAAACCTTGTAATTTCTTTGATCTGCCGATAGCCCAAGAGTTGGGGCTAGTCAAGACYGGTTTTTCCTCAGTCAAACTGGTTTTTCTGCACTCATATAAATTTTAATTCTAATTTTTCWTTTAAAAATGAATTGAACCAGTGACCAAAACTGAGACCACAAGCATAATATGGCATCGATCGTTCAACACCAAGCTTTCAAAGTCTTTTTTCTAGTAGATTATTTAAATTATCCTCTCATCAAGARAAAAGAATGTAAGCAATTATTTGAGGAGAAGACAAGTTTGTTTTGTTACCAACCGGGCACGTAAACTATATCAGCTTATCATTCCTCTAGTAAATAAGTCATAGTCATCCTAATTCAAGAGAGTTTCCTACAAAACAACTACTCTTAGTGTTATCGCTGCAACAGGCACTTGATCAAATCAAGTCTTGCAAGACCGCTCTCGTGGATGATACTTTATTTAAAGATGAACAGAAAATTGTGGAGCTCATGGATTGTTCACAAGTCCAGAAGCCAGGCCGGAAGCAAAAATTACAAGTAAAGAAGTGTGGAAATCAATCAGTTTCTAAGCAACCACCACACATGCTCAAATAAGAAACTACGAGGTTTCGGCAGAGTGTTATTTCGCCAATTTTTTACTGAGGTATAGCCTGAGTATCAGGCTCTCTCGAAGGGGTTTGGGCCGGATCGAGAAAGGAGAGAGAGCCTGACACAATCTTCTATCGAGAGCCGTGTTTGGCGGCCATTTAATGATAGCGCGAGTGTGGTTGATACTCTTATCAAAACACATTTTTGGCCAATCACAAYGCATGATATACCAATTATTTTAAATTTTATTTTCGATTTCTTGTTTCATACGACTTGATCGATGTATTTAAAGTGCATAATTATAAAGGAAATTTTTTGTGTTTCCTAAAAATAGTTTACCAATTATCAAATATGGTTTGAGGAAAAGAAATTCAAAAATCRAAATAGTGGTGTGTTTTTGAGGCRATTCGAGTTCATAAATGGCCTCCTGTGTTTTTTGTATCTGGAGAGTCCTAGAGAGACTGGAGACAATAAACGTGTGACGTAATTCAGTCAGATCAGTCTCGAAGTTTGCAGAGAAATACTAGCAAAATTTCATCATTCAGGTTTGAATCTGACATTAAAGAAAATGAAATTCGGGAATTAATATTTGAATGAATTATGTCACCAAGTTCTCATTAGCAACGATGCACACCAGGCGGTGTTGGACACAGCACGAAAAGGATCCTGGCTTAAAATYAAAAAATGGTTTCATTTGCCACTGACCTTTGAGCTGTGAGGAGCTCCRTCGGAGTTGATTGAAAGGCAAAATAAAGGCGAAACCTGAGAAAAACTTGAAACGTATCCCGAAAACAAGTAAAAACTCATAAYAGAGCTCAGTAGTATTGCAAAAAAAGAAAGCTAGAACACTGAAACCTTATGAAAAGATCGGATTTTTCGAGCAATTGTGAGAAAACTAAGTTCRTTTTATTACGAGAAAGCACAAACATACCTTACGGCGGTCTCCGAAAAGAYATGTTWATCACAATCAGCGATATGAATGACACTTCATGTTTCATGAAGCGAAAATATATGCGGAAAATATTACAAAATCCACAAAAGTATAAAATATACTACCGATTTCTTGTGTTCTTTGTCAAAYAGCGCTTCAAAATTCATCAAAAAATGCATTTTTGTACACACATATCGAGTCCTGGGCCGTCGCCATCTCCGCTTTTGAGATTCCCGCCAAATTCGAAATGGCACAACATGATTGGTCAAAATTAAAACCCAGTATCCTTTTCTCGCTGTGTCCAACACCGCCTGGATGCACACCAAAAAAACATCTGACAGATGCTACTTCACGCTTATTGTAACCAGTCCCCCTAGGACTCTCGCTATAGAAAACACAGGAAGCCATTTTCTGAAGTTAATCGCCTCAAATACACCCTACTATTTTGATTTTTGAATTTCTTTTCTGCAAACCATATTTAATGATTGATACACCTTCCTTAGAAAACACAAAAAAATTCCTTTATATGCACTTTAATACACTATGTTAGTTGATATTAATCTATGGCAGTTTTATTGGTAAGTTCTATTGCTCAGGTTTAGGGTTAGGATTTTGGCAACGTTTTGCGACAGCCACAGAAGTTTTTGACATTTTATAAACCAAGCCAGTTTGTATATTTACCTTTGTAACTTGTTACCTTCTGCCGATCGTATGAAATCCACATCCTCATCCTTATCTTTATTTTCTGCTCCCAATAAATTTKTATTCGTCTTTTGCAAGTTTTTGGTCTCTTTTTTCTTGGTAAAAGTGAATGAAAACGTTGTTTCTCCGTCCGGTCTATCCGCCATCTTTGAAAACTATATCTTCATGGGTGTTGCCGCTGGTTCCATTGCTTGTGGTACATACACAGGTTTCCCGCGAATGGCGACATCGCATGATTTGTTCTGTGACTTCTGTGATATTAAAACTTGGGGTTATTCGAGGCTGGCTATTGCGTCATTTCTGTGTTTTTGACGCTTGTCCGGCAATTTTAATACTCTAATTACATCTACAACCATTATCGTAAGTAGTACTTTTAAAATCAAAATTTTATTGGCACATTTACCGACATAACTCAACAGTTTTGTTTATTTTAGTCGTTTAATGGCCTATATACATGAATGCCCATCGCGATACTCACTTTGATTGTCGGGGTTTATTAATGCTGTTGATGTCATGTCTGATGGATTTAAGCGAAGTTCAACAATCAATACAGTTGTTTGAGCGTCTTTTCAACTGGGGCGTCGGTGTGGCGTTCGGTCTTTCCGCCCCGGATTTACTTGCTTTCAGGCACTTTCATTACATGTGGGCTATCATATTTCGTTTGGTCGATTGAGTTCAGGTCATCACATCTATCGGTAAAGATTGCTTACAGTAATTTTCAAAGGAGTTATTCCATCCTTAATCAATTCCCAATGGGTGTGGTCATTTTTCATGATTGTATTCCGTTCAAAGTTGTTTTATAGAGGTAATCATCAAATAACCAATAAAGACGTTGAATTATCTCGCGAGTATTCATTGACGAGCACGGTGTTTAAAGACATCTAAAAAACGACCATTTGGTCTACAGGTTGAAATAAGCAAGTTTGATTAGTCATTTCTATCACTAACTCGAAGATTGTTATGACCTCGGTAATAAATAAAATTAACTACACGCAGGCTAGCAATACTTAATAGCTTTAGTTGAATAAGTGCAATTTATCATCGTTGAGAAAGGCGCCATCAATATTTAACAGAATTACCTCATTTTCTATTGATGCACACTCACGACAGTCATAGCTAGTCATGTTAAATCACCTATTCACTGCTCACAGACGGGAGAGGCGTAATTGCTAGTCGTACCCATGTCTGGTCAGGGCTAGGTGACCAATTGCCAGACCAGGCGATCGCGCGCATCGAGTCCTTAAGCAAGACAGTTTGTTTTATCGGTTCCTCGTCTCCTCGAATAAAGACGTGAAACCTTCTTTGTTTCTAAGGCGAGAACTGGGAAGGTAAAGCCTTACCCAAAGAAAACTACCCAGGTCAAGAAATAACCATCTCACATTTATGGCCACACCCTCACAACAATTGAAAAAACACTATAGGTGGTAATTGTATTTGCTCTCATTTGATAGTGCAATAATGATTCCTGGCAATGACGATTACTATTTAACATCGCATTGCAATAAGTGATTAAGATGCAGACGATGGGTTTAATGTGTGCCAGTCTGTACTATTCTTGGCCTAGTGCGGGTCCATGGTGATCTCATCACATTGCGGTGCTTCTCCCTCCCTTATTCTCAGAATTTATTTTTTTCCCCTTTGTTAAAATCCACCATACCGTTGTGCATGCTTGATAATATTCATTGTAAAGGTAAGACATACACCAAGTTCAAAGAGGTCAAACAGGACCTCAAATATTAAAATCGGAATACATTTTATTATTGCCACACCCTACACCTCTAAATAGATCCTGAGACATCTCTCAGCAAGAATGACGATGTCTATAATTATTAGCAATAACAGGATTTTTTTACATTTCAGTGAAGATATATTTTTTATCTTAATCTTAAAAAAAATAAAAACAATTGCAACTATYAACTAAAAAATCGACAAAAAAAGATAAAGGCTGAAAAGGATACGATCAACAGAACGTCCGCTTTACATTTAGGTCATAACAATAATATTTAAACACTATATTACGAAGGGAGATAAGCAGGAGTCACGGAAAGTCCCAAGATCAATAGCAACGAAAACGCAAAGATACTAAAATGGATATCAGTGTTGATATTGAAAGAGTTCAAGCAACGAGCTCTATATTTGAAAATACGTGATGGTTTGTTACAGTGCATGAAACTACTCATGTTGTTCAACAATATTCCGGCTGCTAAACCACTATAACTGAAGTTATGAATTGACTTTGCAGTTTTAGTGAATGAATGACACTGAGCCTATAAAAAAAAACCAAAGAATTCCTACCGTAAATAAAATAAAATATAACAAACTCAAATAACAAAGAATTGGAGGATAGAATGTATAAGAATTAAAAAAGAAAAACATTGAGTGTTCAACAAAATTAATTAACATAGAAAAATTGGGAACAGGTTTCATCACTGTGGTCCTGTGAAAAAAAATGAACAACTGAGTATGAATATCAAATTCAGTGATCAGCTCAGTTTTAAAATCACAGGACTTTTGGTACAAGGAATCGTAATATTTGACTTCAAAAGCACAAAGAACTTTAAAGCAAACAAGATTTGCGGAAGAAAAACACCTTGTAGAGGAATCTCTAAAATGAAAACGATGTAGTGGGCAAACCGACTTTTATTAATAAAAATTGTGCATGAAGACAAAAAAATACAATTCTTCTTTATTCGATTATGAAGGTAGCAGTAATTGTACATAATGACTAATAAAGGCGAAGTCGTCTTTTAAGATCTAGAAATACAGTTCCAACTACGTAGCTCATGAGCCTGAAATTACKGACTTAAAAAATGAAAAAATAGAATCCTATGGCTCCGTGAGGAAAAAATCTGAAGATCGTGAAAAGTACTTAAAACACAAAATAAAGGGAACTAATAAAAAGCTTTTAATTCATGTGTTTGCACTGAATGAACAACTAATTTCAAAATGGAAATGTAAACGAGAAGGAACTCAGTTAAAAGAGAAAGCATCTTTTATACCGCCTGCATGATTAGAAGTCAATGAATGAAGAATTAAATAAATGGAAAAAAACGAAAAAAAAACGAATGAGATATCATTGACGAGATATTAATTGTTATTTCCTTGCTGTACTAGCTATAGTGTGCAGAAAAGTATCATTACAACTGGTGCAGTGTTTTCAAGTTTAAGTCACTGCATGGCCGGCCAGYGCAGACACTGTCGCATTTCATCAAAGTTCAAGATTTCGCACTAAAGCACTAAAAACGACATACATCAGTATAATTATGGTGATAAAAAACTTCAAAGAAACAGTTTTAACATGACAATTGACAATTTATTCATTACTTTCCAACTATGAACTAAATGTCTTACATTCTTTGCACATATGTTGTTTAAGGCATCTGTTAAAATAGTCATCAAATAGCATCCACACCCTGAAATGATATTTCTCGGATCTGGGAATATAATTGATTCAATGTCAAACTGGCTCATTTGTCTTATAAACCTGAAGCCGAATTCCTTGGTTAWTTGTGAAAGAGTTCTCATTTGAACGAAGGAAAGGAACTGAGCATAATTTCCACTTTGCTGCATTTTAATACACTAACAAGACTTAGGTGGAACGATAGGTATAAAACATGATTGCATACAGGCTGAAAGCAATGCAATTACCGAACATTATTGAATCGTTTGAGAGAAAAATACGGCTTTAAACGGACTTAGATATTCTCCCAATGATCAGACATGTTACAGATGTCCTGCACAGCAGGTCTGCAAAGTACAGTCCATCCACCGCATACGAATTTCATTTAATTGCCTGCGCAGCTAGCAAAAGTGAATCACTCCTAAATACCAGCAAGACATCTTAGTAAATAACACTTCTAAATAGATTCTGAACAACAATACACGTAAGAAATGTAGAGAATGAACAAAATGATGTTCCATTTAATAAGCATGAAAAAAGGTCTTCACAGCAATGCTGGGAAAAGGCTTGAAAAAAATAAATAAAGCGCTCTTGTTATGATTTCTTTATTTGTATAGTGCGCACGACAGTAATTTAATTTTCTTTTCAAAGCTTCTCTTTTGGAACTAAGCAATTTCGATTTTTTTGGTTCTGGCAGCTCGACGAGAATTAACAYGAAATTTGAAAACTTATCAATGCGCTGCAAATATTCCCTGTACAGTAGTTCACTGTTTAAACTGCTAAATGAGATTTCATAAATTGATGCAGGATATAATGAACTACTGCTTTACTTTCTCTACATTTTCCAGAAAAATGTTGTCACTACTAGTTGCTGGCTATCAGTAAACACTGAAGAAACGACAATATATACGATAGAGTGCAGTCAGCAGTCTGCTTGATACGAATGACGAACCGATTGGAGTTTTACAGGTCAATTCTATTAAGTTTCCTTCCTTTTCTGCGCTCATAATTTAGAAACTGATTGAAAACCAAAAAAAAAAAAGAATTTCACCTGGGTGATGTTGCACCGACATTAAGAACAACAAATACTTCTTGATACAATAATCCTCGACTTGTCTCGCAACATTGCGGTTGTTCAAGTTTCATGTGTCGATATATTTGTTGTTTCTTACAGTTTGCCTTAGCACTGACAACTTGTCGACCAACAAAAAAACAGACCTCGAAATACGAGAAACACAAGAGCTTAACTTGAACAGCAACATGTTGGGTGATAAGATTGAGATTTTTTTAGTGTATTTCTCGTCCTTTGGGTTGAAATCCTTCCCTGAATGGTTATATAGTTCAACCGTTTGATGACAACTCAGTAAGGAATGATTTTTAAAACATCGATCATCGATCATTTTCTGAACATTTTCTATTTTTAAGGAAAAAATAACATAATAATGATAATAATAAAAAAAGAATTGTGATAAAGAGGCGTGAGGCTCTGCTACGCTATAGTCATGACTGTATTCGATTCTTTCCTTGCAAGGAGTTTTCACAGTGTTTTCTAATTTTTTTTGAAACGGCACCTAATTTATAGAAAATGGACTCAAGACTATGAATCCTATGGAATTCAAGTTAATTAGTTATTTCGACGCCAGTAGTAACAAGTTTTGGCATATATAGTGTACGCGAAAATATGCTGTACGCAAAAAAAGAATAATGCATTTGGATTTGAATCGACGGATCATGGTGTACTGCATGTGCGGTAAGACTTTGAGTTATTTCTTCATCAGTTCCTTTGTTCTATTGCTCAGTTTTTTATCTTTCTCGATCTATCTCTATTGTTGCAATTCATATCTATTCATGCTTCTATGTATGCTTCTAATGTCAGAAAGAAAGAAAAAGAAAAACAATAATAATAACAGAACGTCTGGTACTTTTTGGAGGCACGATTTCAAAGGAGTTGTCTTAAGGGATGGTTTCAGAGATATTCACTGCGAGTGACTCAGCATTTGAACTTTCATAAAGGACTTTTTTATCGAATTACGTTTTTCTGTTCTATATAAGATATAATTCAGTCAATGTTTGACAATGTGACATGTTCGTAGAAAATGAATTYTCTCTATCTCTCTCAAGGTCTCACGAATGATTTTTATCAGTAAAAATACGTGTGTTTCATTGTCTTGTCATAACAAATATCATAAATTTTGACTTTTTTGAGGCTCCACTGAACGAAATTTGTCGGCGAATCCATATAATTTAACTTTTCGTATAAGATATACTGCAAAGTTGGCTAGCAGAATTGAGCTCATCAGTTTATAGAGTTCATGCGCCTGAGTGAAATATGACGTTTCACTTATCTATTTGTTTATAAACTTCAATCTAAGAATTCATTCTCTCAAAACTAACATTTGTGTTTCGAGTTCGGGAAATTGCGCAAACCAAGCTGAAACTCTGTAAATCACTGCTGCTTTTACTCAACTGAATTAAGAAACTTCCGTATTCGTTTTTCGCGTGAATTGTTCTATTTAAGCCAGATACTACTTTGGATTAACTGACTAAATAGAAACTATTGTTCAAGGGGCTGGATGTGCAATTAGTCYTTAACTGATACTGAACGCTGCACGGCTAACATTACAAAGAGAGTAGTTTGAAATCGAGATGGTCAGTTCTTGTTGGTTCCGCAAAGATCCCGGCTTGATCAGTGTGAAGTTCTAGCAATCAAAAAGGGGCTGGATTGTCTCTTGAAACTATTACCATCGTAAAAAGGTCTAGAAACTAAGGGGAAATTGAAATTCTTAATTCGTCTTTAATTCTAAAGAACAAAAATCTTCTAATCGTCTTATGGATATAGTTTATTTGACTTACGATGAATAGCCATCATGTATCTTTTTACTTGGCGTAGTAATTCAAGCCAATTCATTGTAGTGTTTTGATGTTTCGATTGACAGTAGCTGGTATATTAGAAGGAGATTTAAGAACGCCCAAAAGGCGTCCCGATCTGAGCATTACAGCAATTAATGTACTTCCTCTGAGTGATTGTGATTTCTGACTCTATCTGATGAGGTAGCGACTCCCTGGAGCACACAACAATCCAAATTATCAACCTTTTTTCTTTCATGCACTAATATCAAGTTTGAACGTCCGGTTCAAAGCTCTGTATACAGGTGCAACTCAAATAAATCAACCGACAAAAAATAATAACGTTTCAACCTCACTTTGCCTTAATGAATGTTTTAAGAAACTGACTAGTCTAGTAGTTTCTAAACTCCACCTCCTTTCGACGTTTATGGTAGAGTTAAGTCTAGAGTACGATGTAAAAGGTTTTAAAAGAAAAGAACGCAAGGCGGCCCAAAGTCTGGTACCGTTGTTGGATTAGACCCTATCAGCGTTAATATCAGGTGAAACTAGAACTCATTATCACTATATAGATGGATCCGTTCTGTCTAAAAGCCATGGGCTCTAGCTAATAATGACCATGAACTTACCATCTACTGAGCTGCCTCAATAGATCACTTTGCATGTTAATATGTATACTTCTAAGTGGCTTTAATGGCGTGGTCAGCTAGTAGGGCGTGGGGATCTCTTTCTTTTCTAACGAACTCAATCAGTCAAAAAGGGCATTTTTGAACATCTTGAATCTCTGACAAGGAATCTAAAAGAAAAGATAGCCTAAGGCAAAAACTATTAAACTTCCTTTGTGCTTTTATTCTATCTTGATTGTTTGTAGCCACGAAAACCTGCTAATTTTACCTTGAAATTAAAGAAACAATACAGACGCGCGCGCGAAAATCACACAGAAAACTGACTAGAAAAGATTGAATATAGGACTTGCATCACTCAAAGCGCACAGTTGAATATATACTTATATAACAATATAGCAAATGCAATTATTTCAGTTGTTCTAAGAATTACTTTTTTAATAAACTTTTGTCTAGTAAGCTAGTTTAATAGTCTGATATGTCACACAACAAATTGTATATCCACCATATAAAGGTGTTGCAGTTTAGAAACACGAAATYATTATTTCGTTTCAGTTCGTTATTCTTTTTCCCTTCTGTTATCTTTTCAGTGACATTTCCAACACAAACGATGGCTTACCTCTCCGCACTAGATCTCGTTCCATCCTTTATTCATGTTAGAAAATATTTTTTGCTTTGAGTCAGAGGTCAGATTATAATAAGTAGATTTACCAAAAATACTGGACATTTATCGAAACGTCTATAATTTTCGAATCTTTTCAGGTATACTGTTCAGCCGTTTTTAGTGACCAAAGCAGTAAAGAAAAAAAACCCTCACTTTTAAGGAAAGAATGATCTTCAAACTGCCGTGGGCTCGTTCATCAGGTCGAGTTTCACTATCAAAAGCCGTTTTTTGACATTACTTAATCTGATACAAAGAATAAACTTCCAATTTTAGAGTCTTTTTCACTGTTGACTTAAGTAATACCGAGGGCAAAYGGTTCAAACAATTGTATATATATCTCCTAGTATTACCCTAATTAAGAGAGACTTTGTGCCTCTCCGAGGTCATTCTACTTTACCTTATAGTCAATCCTGTAGCATTTGTTTTTCTTTTTGGCGGACAAGTGTTGTTTCAGCAGCTTTGATAAAATTCCATAGGTCGTTGCTGTATAAACAGCATGGTATGAATAGCTTGCATTGTGTAGACAAGTACTCGAGCATCTCGTTCTTTGCTTTACAAAAAACAATGTCTTTTCTTGCAGGAAAAGCAGAGTTGTTTGCGGTTGCGAATATTCTCACGAGTGTAAGTTATGTGTCCTTCCTGGTCTATAGGCTTAAATGGCAGTTCTTTTTGGCTTGAAGAAGCAACTGACACTGTAGATCAAGGAGATCACTCTCTCTGGAGACCCCAAGTCTAGCTGTCTTGTCGCCTTTAACGAGTTCTTTCAAAGACGTTTGTTTTATGGCTGTTTTGTTGCTTTACGTTACCATTCATTGAAACAGGCTTTGTTTATAAACTAAAAGACATATTTTGTACCTGGTATACAGTTTTTTAACGTAACTGAAACCAAGACTGTTCAAACCTTCAAGGTGTGGGAATTTCTCCCTGGTACGACTAAAATTTATTTCTCCCTCTAAATTTTCCTCTCTAGAAAGTTATTCATGTCATACACTRCGACTTCAGCCAGCCTAGCAAAACTAATTCATGCATTGAAACTGACATAACATTGACCGCGGAGTTGAACTTCTCGTTCCCGTTCCTCTTAACAAGAAAGGGGAAAACTTTGCGACGTAAAATGAAAAAACAGCAAACGCGCAAAATTCATTTTTTGATGGATTTTCTTATTCACTTGTCTGTGAAAGATTGTTTCTATTGTAACAAGAATTAGTAAAAGTTGTGAAAGAATCTATTGGCTCTGTTTATTACTTCGGAGTTTTTCCTCAAATATGGAGTTATACACGGCGGGTCAAATCTTCTTAACCGCACAGATGTTGCTCGACTTTATTGAAAAGAAATATCAATGGCWTTTGAGAGTAGCGGGTTGTTATAGCCTTAATAGAATATAACAGCTTTTCGCCAGCGACATTTCATCGTGTATAAACGTTTTACATCGGCATTGCCAACATCTAAGTCGATGTCATGAGGTGCATTCATAAACTCGCTTATTGAGTTTTTGTAGTATTTGGCGGTATTTTAAGTACTGTTGTTCGAATCATATGTCTTCAGCTGTTAGCTTAGTATACTTCATTCTTCTTCGGAAGAATTACAGCAGTTTTTCGCTTATTAATTGTGTGTAAAAGAGCCGTTCAATGATTGTCATCGCTATACCCTCATTCATATTTTGAAAACTGGATGAGAACGACCACGCAATGAACAAACAAGCCTGACAAAATACGAAAATTATCAGAATCTATGATTGCATTACTGAAACATAGTTTTTTCTTCTATATTTAATAGCAACTGTTGTGATTTATCATTGTTAATTACAGTCCAATGGTTGAGCAACTGAAATACGGTAGACCGTTCCGCATTGCAACTATGTTCCAAATAATATAAATTTAATATAATATTGTATTTTCGCCATGGGAATAATATAAATTTTATTTCCATGGCGAAAATACATAATTGMTTGTGTTTTCATTACTTTTCGCTGTGTAGTATGAAGAGGCGATACGAGAAAAAAAATGTCTTCCCTAAAGTTTTTTTCCAATCAAGGTGCAGTCGATCTCCCGCCGTTTCCAATTTTGTCATCTGACCAAACATTAGCCAATCAAAAGCCGTGTTTTTGTAATGTCATTCGTGGGTGGTCAGTTTCATGTCTTGTGGACTTGAATTACAATCAGTTTCGTCCAAGTAGATTCCCAATGGGAGAAGAGCTAGATTTACTACCACATCCTACGTCCAAAGAGGTTCATTCAACGTTGACTGCTCACAAGTCGACTTGAGTGTCCGCGTGGCCTACAACTGCAACCCTATAGACCAACACCAGCAAAAAATGCACCAACTGCAAGCTTGTTCAAACTAACATGGCGGCCCGTACGACCACCGCTTGCTTGCTGCTATGTTGGATAGCTTTTTGCCGTCTTTCCCATGGCCAAACGCAAGGGACCCAAATTTGTGAAAGAATCAAACCCTGTACTTGCTCACAGCAGCAAGTTATTTGTGATAATAGGAATTTTAGCCAAGTTCCAACAGGGATTCCTTCAGACACAAYATTATTGTGAGTACAAACTTACTCAATTTCAAACTGTCCTAAGTCTATTAGTGGGGTTCACTCATAGAGCCTTCTTGACGTATTTTTCGTCCCTATTCGTTTTCAAAAAATATTCCAATCTTAAGTAATGTTTTTGTAAGCTTTTGAATGTTTAAGCTAGCAAAAATATACCTCAAACACAAGTTTTTCCGATAAGACTTGGTGTATAGTTTATCTAGGGTGAGAGGTCCTTGGCGAGAAGTTCAATGCCTTATCCTTAGATCGTGTTTCAACCAACACACATGAAAGGCTCAATCGAATTTTTACCGTGACATATATCTGATCAGTGATATTAGCACAATATATTAGAACATGCATTGAAACTCTTCACTCAGATATTATACCGAAGTTTATTCTATAAATGTTTTGGATTGAGCTARTTCACTCGTACAATCAACACGCGTTGTATTTACTCGAAGTCGTGTGATTGATTTCGTTGTGTTGTCGTTATTACGTTCATTGTTTTTGGCTAAGAAATATTTATTTTAACACCAAAGAAGTAAAAAGTGTGATAGAGGATCAAATAAGTTGTGAAAACTGACACATTACAAAAGAATTAGCTGCGACATTTTCGTCTTGATAACATGTCAAGGATCGAATCATGTCCAGTTGTTGGAAGGGATTTCTCGTCATTTGACACACGATTAAATCAATTTTCGTCCACAGAGCGTTGGTCAATTGCTTCGGGCTGGCAGTGATTGTAGATGCTCGGGAATTTCTGTCAAGACAAATAGTAACTAGGTCCCTATTTGCCCTTCTGTCTAACAGATGTCTCAACAAATTGGTTGACTTTTGTGAACGTTTTGATTCTATTCTATTTGCTCATTATAGGTATATGTTGTGGTATATGTTTATTACTCGTACAAATGTATTATTTCTAGTACAATTATTTTGTACTGTGAAAAGTTTTGGGGCAATGAAAATAGTTTGACGCGGGGTTTACGCCGACGGTTTCCACACATATAATTATGAAGTATTTTAATTGGTGGATGGATTAACTTGACTGCTACAAGACACGCTTACTGTGTATTTACACTAAACTGGGTTCACAGTCATTTTACAGGTAGAGCAGCAACGACTGCTGATCACAAATTGACTTTTTGTGTTGGATATCCCGCGGTAACCATTGTGATCGATGGCTGAAGCGTCGATTGCGTGCGGCATTGCTGTAGTGTTTACTCGTCGAATTTACAATTGAAACTATATTGTTTAAAGAGACTTTGTCCAACTGAAACGGAGTTTGATACTATCAATAGTTTTATTAAGGAAAGACTCGAGGGAATTACTCGAGTAATAGRTTGTTCTGTTATGAACACATGGATGGCGGCTCAAGCGGTTAACTTTCCTTTTTTTGGAACCACAACATATTGAAATACTTTCATCTCTTGTATCCCGCTGCGATGCCATTTCGTTAGAGAAAAAAGCTTCCTTTTTTGTAATTGAAAGCGATGTTTTTCATGAATTCTTTTCGCTAATTGTAACATCGTTCTTTGAATGGAGGCGATGAACCTTTGTTCAAAAGTTTCATAAGCAGAGTCGTCCGTCGGTCACGCTCCTCCACGATTCTGTTGGATTAGGCCATATGGACATTTTTGTTCGATATTGCTAGAGTTATCCAAATCAATATATAGCCCCGGGCGATTATCGGTTGTCTTACACAACCGCTAGAAGAAAGGACATGCAAATAAGAACGAAATATGCCCCCTGTCGAGAAGTTTATTAATCACCAGAGAAGCTGATATAGTGTTAGCCCATTGCTATTGTCCTACGGCTCTGTTGTGTAGGTACTTTCAAATTAATTTTTCTTCTATTAACAGCATTATTCAATTTCTCATCGCTATGAGGTTATCTAGGTGATGTTGTTTGAATTCCTGGTTGTTTTATTCCTTGGGTTCTATAGAAACACTGTTTACTGAGAGTCAAAACAATTTTCGTGTGTGATTAGAAGAAACGTGTGTGTAGTGTGTTGTCGTTGTGCTACAATCACTATCTTCACAGTGGGACGTAAATTTGAAATCTTTTCACCTCACCTCACACATGTACAGCCATGTTATTAAGTCTACTTAAGACAATGGATAGAAAATTGTTTTCTTTGCCCAGCAAACCCATGAACTCTATGAATTTATGTATTTAAAGACAAGCTTGTTTTAATTCATGTTTGCTGATTATATAAGATTAACAATTACAGTCTAATTCATTCAAAAGCATCTCAAAGTAAATAAAAGTTGGTTTAGTTCGGCTATGCGTGAAATCATTGATCACTAAACAAATGATTTATCAGTAGAAAAGATCTTGCAGTATTTTTTCCAGTGACCCAATAATTATGGAGTTGATTTTCAATGGTTTGGGTTTGAGGCACTAGTCTTCACTTTAGATGTTATCTCCAAGTGTATGCTATACCTATTAGCTTTGCAATAAGCTAATAAGCTAGTTCATTCACCTCTGATATGCCTCATCTTAAAGACAAGATAGTTTATTCTGTATTGTGAAAGTGAAGGTCTTGGAATGGTGCATTAGGTCCTTGAAGATTGGATTATTTTTGTAGTGTCAGTCTTCTAAGACAACACCAAGGGCCTGTCATTGATACACAAGGGTGTGACATATTAGTTCCTTATTCTGTACACTCAATTGACATAGTTAGACAAGCATTGTTTGAGCTTCAACTGCTTATAAAATGCTTCAGTTGTCTTGTTGATTAGCTTTCTTGTAACGCATTGTGAACATTTTGCCATATCTGGGTGAATGTGCTGCTCAAAGTGTGCATGGAAGATATTGATCTTGCTTGTTAAGTGGTCTTTTGTACAAAATGAATTATCACTATCCATGCTCTTTTTTAAACTGATTGTTCTATATTAAGGAAGAACACCTCCATTATAGATAACTGTATTTTGCTTATGTCTTAAACCTATTCAGCAATTATACAAGGTACAAACTGTGTACAAGTCTTGTAAACGGCTGCTTCTTGCTTTTAAGTCTGGTTGTTAGCTCTTCAAAGCCATTACCTTTGTATAATAAATCACAATTGCTTGTCATTCTGTAATTTTCTTTGGAACTGCCGCAATATAATTAATGTTTATATTAATTAGCATGGTAATTACATTCTTGTGGTATTTATAACTGCTATGCACTACAAACACAATTAAGGAAAATATAGAACCAAATTATACATTTAGCAATGAACACTTAGGCCATCCTTGCTTTTGCTAAACAACTTGCTTTTGAGCTTCAAGTGGTGTGTGCTATATCCATCACCAAGCAAATAATTTATATGGCCTCCTTCTCAAGGGTAAAAAATGCCAAAGTGTGAATGAATTTAGCTTCCTTTAATGATCTAATTGCCTATAAATAAGRTTCATGGTTTGACCATTTTAGTTTATTCGCAGTCCATTAGTTGTTTAGGTATCTAAAAAAGCCAATAACTAGAATTTCTTTCTTAATCTGTGCACCTTGTTGAAAGTAAAATGAATGGATCTTAATCTTTGATATTAATATTGTATTAGCTTTAATCACTTTAGTAAAACACCTGGAAAGATGGCTTGAAACTAATAAACTGCTTTTAAAAGAGAAATTGTCATGTGTGAATACAGCTGATCCTACATCTAATCAAAGATCTCTCTTGTACCAGTGAAAATTCTGTGATTAATGAAGACAATGCCCTTCTGTAAAAAAACAAAATAGATACAAAGTGCTTTATGTTGTACCTTATCATTTTACAGTTATTATTTTGAAGGACATGGTTCACCTTGGGTTAATTCAAATCTATTCTTGTACTAAAATATTGAATATTCATTGCTGGCTATAAGTATGAAATGTGATTGGGATTTTAGAGGTTTTTATTATCAGACACAAATGCTTTCAATCARTAAAGAAGAAAAGAAAAATGTAATTCTGGCTAATTGGAATAGCTAAGATTGAYGCATCTCTCTAGTTTGATGAGAATTTGTAATATTTCCAGACCTAGTAACAACTGAGGTTTAGGTATTTGCTGTATGTGTGGTATATAGCCACACTAATGGGATGTTAACATGGTCACACCCATTGACATGGACACCAAACGAACCCTTGCATTAATACCTCCCTCGATTTAAAGGGCCACTTTGGATGGAAATTGCAAAACATTAGAAAAGACTTGGAAATCAAATAGACCTTTCCATATGGTTCTAATAATCATGAAGCAACAGATTTCAAGAAGATATTGATACAAATCCTTAATAATTTGKGCAAAAAWKKT